CCAGCCTCCTGAGTTGCTGGGATTACAGGCATGCGCCACCATGCCCAGCTAATTTTTTGTATTTTTAGTAGAGACGGGGTTTCACCATGTTGACCAGGATGGTCTCGATTTGTTGACTTCGTGATCCACCCGCCTCGGCCTCCCAAAGTGCTGGGATTACAGGCTTGAGCCACCGCGCCCGGCTCTTGTAGGGTTTAAGGAAGAATTACATGTGAAGATGCTTGTAAAGTGTTTAATGCAAAGTACACACTAGGCCCTCCACAAATGGTAGTTACTACATAGGAAGAAATTGATAGAAGTAACTTGTCCACAGATATCACCTGTTATAGCAACAAGGCCAAACTTCCAATCTGGTCTATCAGACTCAAAAATGGCCTTCCTCCTTTTAGAAAAAGGAAATATTAAGAAGTGTTGGGACCTGCGGAGAGGGAGCTTTTTGTTTTTGTTCTTCTGCACACAATCTCTGAGTAGAATTGCAACCAAATAATAGTAATAATTGCTAGTTTATTTAAATGTTTACTATGTCATAGGTTCTTTAAATGCATTAATTTACTTAATCCATTCAACCTATTTATTCACATTTCAGATGAGGAAACTGACCTTTAGAAGAAGTAAGCACCACAAAGATTACTTCCTGGTCCTAAGGAGAAAGTTAACTGAGTAATGAAGTTCTCAGGCTCTTATCACCCTAATACCATGGTAAATCTTAACACGATTAATGGTAGAACAACCAGATAATGTGTCTCCTGCTGGGATGACAACATTAAGTAGATACCATCAACTATGACTTTTTTTGAGAGAGAGGGTGTAGATAGAATGCAGTGGTTCTATCACAGCTCACTTCAGCCTCAACCTCCCAGGATCAAGCAATCCTGCCTCTTCAGCCTTCCAAGTAGCTGGGACTACAGGCATGTGCCACCATACCCTTGTTAATTTTTCTAATTTTTTGCAGAAGCAGGATCTCAAACTCCTGACTTCAAGCAATTCTCTCACCTCAGTTGCTCCAAGTTCTGGGATTACTTGTGTAGGCCACTACACCCAGCAACTATGATGTATTATCAAAATGTTTAGTACCCACAAAGATTAAAAATAATTTTAAAAAATGTCTGACTTAGATGTAATCAAGTTAGTAGGATAAGCTATAGGATCAGCTAAAGGAAAGCAAAAGGCAGCAAATTCTAGAGGTAGGACATTGTAAGGACAACTGGCCTCTTTGCTTCACCAACTTAGGAAAAGGTATTTTTCTACATTTAAATATTAAGAGACGTAACAACCAGATGTAGCGTATCATCTAGATCTAGATCCTAGTTCAGACAAACCAGCTATAAAGGACATTTTGCAGAAAATGCCTGGGTCTTAATGTTGTAGTTCCAGAAACCCACCTTTATCTAGGTACCCTCAGTTGATTTTCCTCGAGGGAATGGATTCATCAATTAAGTTGTTTGTTTTGGTTTGGTTTTGGGGTTTTTTTGAGACAGGGTCTCACTCCATCACCCAGGCTGGAATGCAGCGGTGCTGCTATCTCAGCTCACTGTAACCTCTGCTTCCTGGATTCAAGAGATTCTCATGCCTCAGCCTCCCAAGTAGCTGGAATTATAGGCATGTGCCACCACGCCCAGCTCATTTTTTTGTATTTTAAGTAGAGACAGGGTTTCACCATGTTGGCCAGGCTGGTCTCAAACTCCTGACCTCAAATGATCTGCCATTCTCAGCCTCCCAAAGTGCTGGGATTACAGGCATGAGCCACCATGCACAGCCTATCAATTATGTTTTGATTTCTTCCTGATTTCTCTGTGGTGATCCTGGCCTTTTTTGCCTTCAAGTCTATTTTTCTTCTTTTCCCTGCTTTCAAAAATGGCAGTGGAAGCCAGGTGGAGTAGGTCACACCTATAATCCCAGCTATTCAGAAGGCTGAGGTGGAAGGATCACTTGAGCCCAGAAGTTGGAGGCTACAGTGAGCTATGTTCTGGCCCCTGCACTTCAGCCTGGGCAATGGGGAAAGACTCTGTCTATATTAAAAAAAAAAAAAAAAAAAGCCAGGCACAGTGCCGCACACCTGTAATTCCAGCACTTTGGGAGGCTGAGGCAGGCGGATCACAAGGTCAAGAGATCGAGACTATCCTGGCCAACATGGTGAAACCCTTTCTATTAAAAATACAAAAATTAGCTGGGCATGGTGGCACATGCCTGTAGTCCCAGCTACTCAGGAGGCTGAGGCAGGAGAATTACATGAACACAGGAGGCGGAGGTTGCAGAGAGCTGAGATCGTAAGATCATGCCGCTACACTCCAGCCTGGCAACAGAGCGAGACTCTGTCTTAAAAAAATTAAAAAGTGGCCGGGCGCAGTGGCTCAAGCCTGTAATCCCAGCACTTTGGGAGGCCGAGGCGGGTGGATCACAAGGTCAAGAGATCGAGACCATCCTGGTCAACATGGTGAAACCCCGTCTCTACTAAAAATACAAAAAATTAGCTGGGCATGGTGGCGCATACCTGTAATCCCAGCTACTCAGGAGGCTGAGGCAGGAGAATTGCCTGAACCCAGGAGGCAGAGGTTGCAGTGAGCCGAGATCGCGCCATTGCACTCCAGCCTGGGTAACAAGAGTGAAACTCCGTCTGAAAAATAAAATAAAATAAAATAAAAATAAAAAAGTCATTGGTGGACTGACTCCATGAAGGCTGCATGGCCTGGACTCCTGTGCTGGTTGACTTCCAAGCTGAATTGCTGGGCTCCATCAGACGGACGCATTTTCTGGAGATAAGAGTGATCAAAGAAAAAGTCAGAGTACCTTTTATCCCCATGCCACCTCCAAGCCAGAGTATCCATCCTTTTCCCACCCCTCAACATCAGGCTGTCTCCTACAACCTCCTTGGATCTAACTTTTAGCAGATGATCCTAGACCCTGGGATCTGGTTGAACAATGTTGTCCTTCTGTCCCTCCAGTGTAAGGATGACAGTAGCTTCTTGCTGTCACTCATCTGTGTCTGGGCTATTTGACTATTCTCTGTTTGGCTTTTTGTCTCTGCCAACACCTGTATAAACCAAATACCTGGACTAAGTTCCCTGTGTTTTAAAGACTTGGAATGGTTTTCCAGGTTGGACCTTGACATATATATATGCTTAGTGACATTATCTCTTTTTTTATCTTCTTTTTCGTTTTACTAACAGCGGATCTCTCTGCAGATGTGACCTTATCTCCAAGTTCCAAGGGGTATCGCCATCATGTCCTGCCCATGGCCCTGCTATCTTATAAAGCGGTGCTTTTCACACTTTTTCTCTGAATGTCCCAGCCAACTGAGAGAGTTCATTTGTCACCCTCATTCCTCTAGGTCTACAGCCAAAATCCCAAGTGCCCACCTGAGCTTGAAATGCCCTTGAACTCTTGTGTTCTTATATGGTGTCTTAAAAATTCACAATG